GTTGCACAAGTATAGGATAGGGAATATCTTCGTCATAGGTGTTTATATGTGAAAAAGATGAACAAAAAAAATATTTTTGTTAACTACAAACTGAATATAAGCTACCATTATTGTGTGATTGCAGAAGCAAAATGCCATCTTCAGATGAATTAATGCAAAGACAGTGTTCAGTTTAAGGGGGATGTATGGGTCAATTCTCAGCACATTTGTTGTTATTTAGCAATTCAAATTATTTATTGGCCCTGGAGTTCTCATCTCATGTTATGACTACACTAATCGACATCTACATGTACACACATGTACATTTCTATTTGGGTCTTCATTATCACTGGGAGATGCATTCATAGTGGCCAGCCATCTCCATTTGAGAGATAAAGTGCTAACAGTTTTGACTACAGTTGGCCCTTCGTATCCTTGGATTCCACATGCATGGATTGAACTAACCTCAGATTGAAAATGTTTGAAGGAATTGTGTCTGTAATGAACATGTTCAGACTTTTTTTTTCTTGTCATTACTCCTTAAACAATGCATAACATTTACATTGTATTAAATATTATAAGTAATCTAGAGATGATTTAAAGTATATGGTAGGATGTGCATAGGTTATATGCAAATACCACATCATTTTATATCATGGACTTGAGCCTCCTAAGATTTTGGTATCCCCAGGAGATATTGGAACCAATCCCACATGGAAACTGAGGGACAACTATTTTTGTCCAGAATCCTGCATCAGCTTTTATTTAATGTGAAGATCCTCTTATTGTTGTTATACTCTCTGTCTCTACACATGAGAAATTGATTGAAGATCTTTGTCCTTCAAATCCAGGGGCATTTCTTGGCCACTTGAGGATATTCTCTCCACCACTGTTTTGTTATGCAGGTGGTCTAGGGCATTTTCTACAAAGTCTCCATGGTGAAATCCTTTAGCCTTCTCAAGATTAGGGCTGATAGCTGGTAACTTTCACATTCACTTGCATTTGGGGGTCTCTACACAAGCTAGTTATTTACCCAAAAGGGCTCTATTTTTTCCTTAAGATTGATCTGTTGGTATAAAATCAGTTTTCAGCTTACTTTACAGTAGTTGTTGGCATTGCATTTTAAGAGGGTTAAATGTTTAGGCACGGTAAAGCATTTTGGAATTATTATCTAAAATTTGTGTAAGTTTTTAGTCATTAAATTTGTAGTGAGATTATAGACTTTATAATCAGACTTTTTGAAAAGTATTAAGCTTATTAATTTAAACTTTTTTTTTTT